CTTTCCCTGCGATTAAACTCACTATTCTCCCTACGTAACCCTAAGCTATTGTTCATGGGCTGTAAGTGCGAATTACCTGAGAAAGACGACAAGATGAAGCTTTACGTTTACTGATGGACTCCGTTTCAACGCTCTAAGGTACTCCGTTCCATGTTACTTTGACTGTAAAAATGAGTGGGCTGGTGAATCTGAGGTTTAATCATAGCGGGAGATGGGTGTTCAAACCATTACAGTACATTAATGGGGATGTGGATACAATATATGGATTTGACCCTGATTATTTGTGTTATCATGATATATCTCGGAAGTACAAGGATGATTTGGGTTTTAAAACTCTAAAAAACATTTATGTTTTAGAACCTGGGAAAGATATGGAAAATGGACTGTTTTTAGTTCAGGATGATGACACAATTAGGAAGGTGCTAAATCGTATTAGAAGTTACTCTTGGATTGATGATATTGAACTGTATGCTGATCATCAACGGGATGAACCTCTTCTAATCCCCTTAATAGAAGGGTGCAGTGTACCAGACCCAGAGTTTGCTGAAAATGAGAATGTGTTGGGTTCTGAATTTGGTACTGAACAATGGAGAGATGAAACTGCTGAAGTAAACACTGGTGGTGTCCCTAATGGATATCAAACAGATGAAGAATCAAATGGAGGGCAACTCTTTAATGAGGAGGAGGAGGAGAGCGACAAATTTGACGATTCTTCAGATGATGAACCTAAAGTGAACTATGCTGTAACAGATGGATCAGGTTACTTTATGAATGGAATGACATTTGAAGATGTTAAAGAGGCCCGCACAGCAATTGCTAACTATGGGGTCAAATTTGGTTATAAACTGAAAATTAAACCAAATGAGAAGAACCGGTTGGCAGTGAAATGTGTGAATGAGGAAGGTTGTCCATTTAGAGTCTGGATTTCTCAAGATGGCAAAAATTGTGGGTTGGCAGTGAAGGTGTGTATTCCAGAACACAAGTGTTTCAGACACTATTCTATTCCAAGTGCTAGTCAAAAGTGGTTAGCAAATTATTTCAAGGGCCACTTGCAAAGAAATCCTAACTTCCGAGTCGCTGATATGAAAGAGGAAGCTGAAAAGAAGTTGAAGATAAATGTAAGCTTGTACAAATGTAAAAGGGTAAAGAGGCTGATTATTCAAGAGATGGATGGGAGTTATAAAGTTGAGTTTGCATATCTAGAAGCCTATGCTGCTGCTTTAAAAAGAAGTAATCCAGGTACCAAAGCCGAAATACAATTATGCCCTAATGCACTAAAAGAAGGTAGGAGAGTCTTTAAGAGGATGTTCATTTGTTTTGCTGCTTTGAGAGAAAATTGGTTGGCAGGTTGCAGAAGGATCATAGGTGTTGATGGTTGCTTTTTGAAAGGAGTGTGTAAGGGTATTTTACTTAGTGCAGTTGGGGTGGATGGAGATGGAGCTATGGTTCCCATAGCATGGGCTCTAACTGACAAAGAAAACACAGCCAATTGGAGATGGTTTATCACGTGGCTTGTGCAAGAACTAGACCTGAAAAATGGTGCTGATTTAACCCTTATTTCTGATATGCAGAAGGGGTTAATCATTGCAGCTCAGGATGTCATTCCAGAAGCGGAGCATAGGTTCTGTGCCCGACATGTTTATGCCAATTGGTCAAAAAAATGGAGAGGTGACCAGTTTTGCAAAAAATTTTGGATATGTGCGTGGAGCACATATGAAGAAGAGTTGCAAATTAACTTGAAAAGGCTTGGGAAGTTAAGCACTGAATCTGCCTCTGACCTATTGAAATATCCAATTCAAACGTGGTGTCGGGCCTACTTTAGCAGCCGAAGTAAGTCATGGATGGTTGATAATAACATCACAGAGTCCTTTAATGCATGGATTCGAGAAGCTAGGGCAAAACCCATTGTGAGCATGCTAGAAGATATACGCTTGAAGGCTATGAAAAGAATTTCTGAATTTAAGACAACCCATGAGAAGTGGGTAAATGACTGGTCTCCAACCTGCATGGAGTATTATCAAGCTAACAAAGATGCTGCAACTGGCTGCACTATAATTTTTAATGGTGACATGGGTTTTGAGATTGGAGAGGGTGAAGATAAACACACAGTGCTATTAGATCAGATGAGATGCACTTGCAGAGCTTGGGAGTTGACTGGCATACCTTGCTTACATGCCATCTGTGCTTTATTTTATAAGAAGATAGATGCCATGACATACATATCTAGGTGGTATCATAAAGATACTTATGTGGCTGCATATCAATGGCCTTTGCAGCCTGTTCCTGGGAAATCTTTCATGAAAGTGGATGACTATGAACCCATTCTACCTCCACCAGTGCCTAACCTACCTGGTAGACCAAAGAAGAACAGGGTTAGAGCCTCAAATGAAGCCAAAGGGGGGGAAAGTAGTTCAAAACCTACTGCTGCTACTGCATCTCATAGAGCCTCAAGAAAAGGGCAAGTACAAACATGCGGGATATGCCATGTCGAGGGACATAAGAGAGCAAAATGTCCAAATAAAGACAGAGATGTAAGCTTAATTACCTTTTGAGTTTTAGCTTCTCATGCTGAAATGTACATTAACATGTATTCTGATAGTTGATTGATTAAGGTGATTTTGTATGTATATTATGTATACTATTCTGTATAATATGTATGTATATTATGTATAATATAGTGTCAAAATATGAAGACTAATGCTGGAATTTAGATTGACTTGTATTCTGAAACTTGATTAACGTGAATTTGTATGTATATTATGTATAATATTGTGTATAATATGTATGTATATTATGTACTTCGTATAATATACTGAATTGTCATGCTTTGGAGTTATAATATAAAGAGTATAATATTCTGAATTGAGTTGTATTCTGATAATTGATTAAGGTGAATTGTCATGCTTTAGAGTTATGTGTATGTATAATATGTCCAAGGTATATGTGATTAAGGTATATCAGTATATGTGTATGTATCTTATCATCTACTGTGGCTGCAGGCACCTAATGAAGCAAGAGAACATACTACATCTGCAAGTGTGAAGAGGACAGCTTCTGTGGCTTTTTCTCCAGTTCCTACCACTACACAAATGCCACCAACACCTATTCCAGTGGAAAATATTGAAAGGAATAATGCTAAATCCAAGCTACCATGTAGAAGAATTGGGAGGACAAAAGGTAAACAATCGGTGACAGGTTTTGGCTACTATGTTGATGTTAACACTGGTGCAAGGACTATAAATGTGAGTTTTATATACCTCAACGAGTCTTAGTTGTTCATTGTTATGAGTATTCCAGTAGTGTTTATTGGAGGTCTTGAGGTCTAACTTCATATCCATTTGCTCTTTAATCGTTGCAGCCTGGGATGGATAGTGAACAAATTGTTTCTGAAGTGCATAATGAAGTGGGACATGATCCTGATGTTACTGTTAGGTTTCCTATTCCAAATGAGAAGGAAATTAGGGATGCAGCGAGAGTTGAAAAACAGATTGATGTCCCAAGTTATAGGACAATAACTTTCAAGGGTGATGGAGCACAAGGAAAGAAACCAACTAACCTGCCATTTGAAGCACCTGGTTTGCAATGGAAAGGGAAGAAAGCAATTAGCTCAAGACATTTGGTGAACAAGATGCAAAGGAGAAAGCCTTCTTCTGTCCACACTGATAATTCCAACCCCCAGTTTAAATAGAGCTGAAGGAAGACTTAATTGATGTTGTATTCGCACACTTTTTGGATGTCATTACAGCTGCCATTTTTTGGGTATAGTAGGTGGCAGCATTAACTTTTTTGTACTTGTGTCTACATGACCAAGTTTTATGGTTTTTTGGAGTAACTGTATTAATGGCACACTTTTGGCCTACTTGTGTGTACTGGTTGTATGTTTTTTGGATTTTTGGTAAACTCATTATGAATTGCTAATATCACCTCTAATTATGTGAAGTTATGGTAATGGTATTATATGTTTTCATGATGTGTACTTTCATGTTATATGTCCATGAACTCATTCCTGGGAAGAATAGCTTGAGTACCAAACTGGCTGCCTTCCAGCACCTACTAATGCCTATCCAGTTTTTCAGACCCTTGTATATTTCACAAGCCAATTCAGAATTCAGACTATTGCATTTTATTTTTTTTAGTTTTCTAACATCAATACAACTATCTTTCTTTAGTTCCATCACAGCTAAGTTGTTCTGCAAGGGTATTTATGCCATGACCATCCAGCTTATAAACCATAGAGTTAGAGTTGGCAAACTATCACATCTGTTAAATGGCAGCCATATTTGGCCTAGCAAGACCATATTTTGTCCGAATATATTACTCATGTATGTAGCATATGACAAACTGAAAGCTTTAGCAATATGGGTTAGGACTGTGGGTTACTACCTTACTGGGGTGATTTTGTGCAGAAATACTAGTACACGCACTACGAGAAACATAAGAGAATGGTTTCATAACAGAAATACTAGACAGTAGCAACTAACTAATAAAACAAATGCTTCTAATTAATTTTGAGTCTTCATTTCTATTCTATTAAAGTTTTCCATCTTTAAACCTTCCCAGTTCCACAAGTGAAAATGAATCTATAGTCTATATATTGCTTCCTTCACACTTCGTTTGGGACATGGGGAAGTGGCTAATATTCTGGTTGATATAATGTGTTTCTGATATTAAAATGATCATGTATGTAAGATTCAGAAAGCAGCAGCATTCCAAATTGCAGCCTGGGATAGTATGGAGTACTGCTATAACAAAAATGGTATAACACATTATCATTAACAACTTTATTAGCACCAAACTGTCCCACAAAGCCACAACAGTTAAACCAAATTAAACCAACATAAACAACCTATTTTCTTCTATCCATCAATCCTTTGTAGGTTACAACTCAAAACATTAACAACTTCAACTAACATAGAAGCATACATATCACTACAACAAGGACACACAACAAAACTACAATCACATAATTCCTATTTTTATTTGATCCCCTCTTCAATTCCATATGATCTGCATCCATGCTACTCTTAACCTCTTGAATTTGAAACTGTGACATATGTTCATTGGAGTTATCATCATATTCCAGGAGTGGTGTTTCATCAAATGATGTTTCTTCATATCTCCCCCTTACACGTATGGCCTCTTCCAGTCCTAATATTGAACTGTGCAGTCTTCTATTCTCCCTTTTTAGGTCATTGATAACATTCTTCGCCCTTTCTGTTAATGGCTCGTCATGCCACTCAAAAAAACCGCACCCATCCTTCTACACAAACAAATATCAATATACATCAAATGAGGTTAAAGATGAATTTCAAACTTTCAATTTAAATTACCTCATAATGCGGACACCCATAGAACCTTCTTCCCGGATTCGTTTCAGTCCATGATGTCCAAAGCCGCGCTTTTTCACGGACTCCATTTCCACTCTTGCACTGACAGTACGTCCACCCTGAATTTTTACGCTCAAAATTGCTTCGCAACTTTACTGAATCATTGGAGTGTGCCTTGTGTATCTTTGTTGACCTTGATGGTGAAGCACTATCATCCATCGTACTTGTTTCCTCTTCCAAGTGTCTGCACACAGTTTAATAGGTAGGTTGGAATTGAATTAGGGTTGTTGGGTATTTATTTATTGAGTTCATGTTTAGTTGAAGGAGAAGATGCCTGGATCGAAGATAGACGGCTGTTTAATGGGAGGGTTAGTGGGTGGCTCATAATAAAAGAATAAGTTGAATTTAGTGTTTATTTGGTCCAATCAAAACGTAAATGTCATATGTGAGATTCATAAAATACCTTAGTGTCATATTTGGCCCTTCTCCCATGTTTTAATAATACTCCGATTTAATTGACTTTTACACTCTAGTACTGGGACTTAATTATTTGACAGTTTTCCCAAATTCTAACTTTTAATGATTTCATATGCATGACACCGATATTGCAAATTTTAAGTTTAAAAAATATATAACGTTTAATCCGTTGGAGATTTTTAGTCCTAAAACATTTCTTAAGTAGATTCAAATGTGGAGAGATTGAACGCTCCATTCGATGACATGTATTTGGATCATACGGCGGGCGGGTACGCTACTGAGAGAGGGTATCAATCGAGCGACGGTCCGACCTCTGCCTGAACCACCACCATGGGTTGTACGAGGTGCTAGAGTCCGTGAAAGTTTTCCTAGTAATTTTATATCTGTTTGTCATTTGTTTTCTTGTGTTCATCTTTGTTGTTAGTTTTGTCAGTTTGTTTGAGTTTTTAGTCTCTCTTTATGTCATTGGGTATGGTTGGATCTATGAGAACAAGTTTGGTTGTGTCAAGCACACTACATGGTTAGCGATTCGTGTTGCTCTTTCAGGGGTGACCGTCTCAATGTCTGATCATAGGGTTTACAGTCGTAGTTGTTGGAGTTCAGTTGGTGTCAATTTTATTTTCCCTTTGCTTGATGTAATGATCCTGAATTTTTTTGATATATATGATTAGAGGCTTGTTTTGATGATAAAAAAAGTAGATTCAAATGTTAAAATTAAGATCTCTAGTTAATTTTTTTAAATATCTTTTTAGTTATTTTTTTAAAAAATAAGTCCGAAGTAACAACCAAAAAAACTAAACTCTAAATTTATTTATCTTTGCATTGGAATGTTTGATCTTTTGCATAATTATTAGCAAAAAAAGAATTTGAGAAAAAATGGTGTATAATAATAAGACTAAAGGTTTTAATTAAAAAAAATTACTAGATAAATATATTAACGGTGCTTGATTATAAGAAAAAAATTGAATTGACTAAATCAATACGTAACGTATAAATTAGTGAAAGAATTTAATTTATTGAGATAGAGGATCGTGATTAAGCTAAGGGTAGCGACGAACTAATCATGTAACAATGATGTGATTAAGTACTCTGTATAATACTATCGTATAAAGTAGTACTCCGTATATGAATTGTTAAACACCAGAGATCACAGATGACATAAGCAGTGACTAATGTGACTATTCTTTTCTGAACTTTTGGATAACTTCGTGGTCCTTGTTGACCTAGAAAATACTACTTCCGGCTTTGCCAATTTTAGGTTGATTGTGAAATAAGAAAAATAAATATTGTGTGAATGAGATTTGTATAGAGAAGAAATAAATACATTGACTTACAATTTAATTATTTAAGCGAAAAATGAAAAACATTTCGGGACAAACTAAAAAGGAAACTTAAAAATAAGACATCCGGAGTTTTAGACCTTTTATTTTTAATTAAAAAAAATAAAAAATGTAAAAATTAATTACGAAATTTCAAATTTAGCATTTGAATTTTCTAAAAAACAAAATTTTCGGCTTTATTGTCAAAAAAGTTCTAGGCCTAAAAATCTCTATCAATTGGATCTTCAAATTTTTTATTTTATTTTTACATATATATGTAATATTGGTAGTACATGAAAAATCATAAAAAGTTATGAATTTTGATATATTTTTATAAATATTGGAGTACAAATAAAAAAGTTATAACACTTCAAAAAAAACATATTTTTTCTCCTCCTTTTTCTCCAAATGATTTTGGAGAATTAATTAAACGTTTTAGTTAAGAGTGATAATAGAAATTTTAGTAACCAATAACAGATTAGCACATCATTGAATCATTACTCGGTTTTACTATATAAAAGAATAGATATGTTAAAAGTAAAAGAAATTGTTGGTGTCTGTTTGGTGACACCTGTTTTTGGCTCATCAGTCTTACAAATCACTTTTTCCCAAACACATAACTTTTGAATTGTGTAATAACCAAAATAAGTAAGATTATAATAATTTTTCTGGTCGAATTGGTTGGAGTAACTGTAAATAACGATTTTAGCTATTTTCATATAACTTTTTCATAATTTTATTAATAAAAAGTAATTTAATCATTATTTTTTCATAATTTTAGAAGATTTAGCCCATTTAGCCGCATCAACTAGAACTAAATAATTTTCAGCAGATTCAGCACGCTTTAATGTTGCCAAACGGACTCGTGGTAACTATGAGCAAAATATGAATAAATTAAATTGCATACACGGTAGCATTGGTATCATTCTCTTAAAGTTAGGACTCATTTACTCTTTATGGAAGACAAGGCATCGGTTTGTGGATGGAAAGCTTCGTGGATAAGTATATATAAAAAGATGGCGATTGGGGCAGAGGAAGAAGAATTGGACCTGGACGAGTTAGATTCAGAGGACATGCCGGTAGAGGAGAGCAATCCAGGGTTTCCGGTGGTGGGAGTGCTGTTGACAGACAGGATGGTCAAATTCCTAACTTACAAAGAACTCATGTCCTCGCTTTGGAGGTCGGGGAAAGCTATTTCGATCAAAGAAGTCAATGAAAAGAGACATCTTTTTACTTTTTATCACCGTGTTGATATGAATCGTGTGCTTGATGGTGGTCCTTGGCAATTTGAGTGTAATCTATTGATTCTGAAAGAAATTAAGCCTGGTGATATTCCACATAAGATTGTGATAAATGAGACTGATTTTCGGGTTCAAGTTCATAATGTTTTCCATATAGCCTGGTAAATCTCGGTACTGCCAGGCGAGTTCAAAACTTTACTGAAAAAATTATAAAACATGATGAATAAGAATAGTGAGAAGTGGGAGTCTTATATGTAAAACAGGGTGTGTATGAATGTGGATAAGCCTTTGAAAAAAGGTACTAACGTGCAGAAAGAAGGAAAAAGTTATTGGGTGGACTTCAAGTATGAGAAGTTGCCCAACTTCTGTTTTATATGCGGCTTAATTGGGCATTCAGATAAATTTTGTCCTTTAACCTATGAAGACTAGCCCAACAGGAGGAAGTAAATGACTTGGGGAGGGTTCATCGAGCTCTGACAGAGACCGCGGGTTTATGGGGGGTAATAAGTCTGATGGCAGGATATGAGAAGGGGGAAAGAATATATTTCAGAATCTGCACAGAGTACAACTAAAGGCGGCGAGCTCAAACAAAGGAGGAAGCATCGGGGTAACAAAAGAGAAGAAGGATTTGGGATGCCTAGGGAGAAGACAAGCTTGATGAGGAGAATAACATGGCTCTTGACGGGACAAAAAACAGGGGAGGGGCGGGCTTCGACCAGTAAGTCTGTCAAAGGTGATGCAGTTAGAACCAGTGCAAAGAATTTGGATGCTCGTGCAGTTTGGCAAGCTCAGATGGCAGCTGGATTTCATTCGTTTTTTTTTTTCTGCGGTGACATTTTTTTTTTGTTATGGTGTCTTTTGTTTTTATTTTCCTATTTGTAAGACTGTGGATTTGGATGTGGGTGATGGAAGGATTGAGCTATCCGTCTTTGGCTCAATTGTGCCCATTAATGGATCAACGAGTTATATTGCTTCTTATGAGGTGATTAACTCCGAGTCTGGTTCGCGGGACAACGGTTGTCAAGAATCTTTTTGTCAGATTACCTACTATCTGAATGATGTGTTATCAATTTAAGCCTATTTCTTCCAAACGAAAAAAATTGTGTATGATAACATAACTAAAATGATGATCTTCGATAACTCTAACAAATTCAACCAGAAAGTTATTTTAACCTTACTTATTTTGACTATTAAATGATTCAAATCTTGAAATTAAAAATTTAGTACTACCTCTGTCTCGCTATGTTGGACAATTCAGTTTACGATGCTTGACTGACGAAAAAACAAACAGATCTCTGTCCGCACTCAAATAATTTTTAGAAAAAATAAATTATATATTCAGAAACTACATTAAAAATTTTACAAAAACGCAAAAACCGGAATCGAATTTGGTTAAAATTTGATATATAAAGTAAGAGATTAAGAGTGATTTGTGTTGACCAAGTGAATAGTGTCTGAGACAATCTTAGCGGGACGGAGGGAGTATTTGATAAAAATTGGTTGATAAAATTGATAAGCTGGAAATAGGGGCGACTACTAAACCAGTTATAATTAAATATCAAATGATCTTATATACTACATCTGTCTCATTCAAAGGTTCTTATTATAAAATGACATGATAGTTTATTCAATAATTAAATAAGTAATTCGAGTATATTTTGAGAAATAATTTTGATAGGTGTATAATATAATATTTTTTAGTGGTGATAACTGTGATAATTGTGATGTTATAAATGTATTATTTTTAATTCCTAAAATATAAATGAAAACTTTTATATAGGACGTCGTCCAAAAGAAGAAAGTGAGAACTTTAGTATAGACAAAAAGGAGTAAAGAGTATATAACAATAGCTATTTGGTTAACTTATACTCCATCTAATACTTACATGTAAAGAAGTTTTCTAAATAGGAAATTTCAAAATAGGATCACTTTTTCAGAATTCATCACTTTTTTTTTCATAATAGGAAAGAGTGTCATGTGAAGAAGAATAATGTCAAGTACTCCTTACTACGGATGTTTTTACTTGGACTGTAATTTGTTCCAGATCAGACCAAATCATACCAGATTAGATCAGACTAG